GCTGCAGATGTACTTGCCCCAGCCCGGGGCTGCCGCGCGCCTTTCCCCGGAGTCTCCGGGACGCTCCAAGCAGGAGGCAGCGGCCTCTCTGGAGCGGAGTCCGAGGACTGCGCCCCGGGGAGCCGGCGCCCAAGGTGGGTGTCCAAGCTGGGGCGACCCCAGATGCCAGTGCTAGGGTGGTCGGCGAGGGGCTGGAGGTCTGGGAGTCCTCGGAGGCACCGCGGGCTTTAAAGGGCTTTTTACGGTCTTTGCGTAGCGGCGCGTGTGCGGGGAAGGGGCCTCGCTGGAAGGGCTGTGGCCATGTGCGTTTGAATTCCTCGGTTTAGGGGAGGGCCAAATCTTTGGCTTCTTTATCCGGTACTGATTAACTTACATATGCTTTAAAAAATAAAGTTAGGGAACTCCTTCAACGCCTTCTCTCCCTGGCCCCACGCACATACCCACAGCCGGGCTGTACAGGAAAAGCAGTGAAATCAACGTGGCCGCCGTGGTGGTCTCTCCAGACCCGGAGCGCGGAGCATGGAGCGAGGAAGGCGCGGGTCCTGCCACCTGGGTTGGCAGCGCTGGGGCATTTTCGGAAGTCATGAGCTTTGCAGGGACACTGAGGCCGTGGAGGGCCGGGTCCCCGGCCAGCTGGAGCCTTTTTGGAGTGGGGTTCCCGGAGCTGAACTCGGGAGATGATGCAGGAGGAGGGAGCAGCTCTTCTGCCCCGGGAAGTAGAAGGGGGGTCCGGGTCCCAGCCGAGTCACCGAGTTTGGTCTGAGGCTGGGATCTCGGCAGTTAGGATCTGGTGTTTTCTCCGGGATAGAGCCGGAGGGTACGTCTCTTTGGGCGCTTCGTGGGGACACTTTGGGGAAAGGAAGGAGTAAACCGCGAGGAGAGCGCTGTGCCTGTGACTGTCATGTCCGTGGAGGTGGCGCGCCCGCGGGGAAAAGAGCGAGCAGGCACCGGCGGCCCCGAGAAATTCTAGAGAAGCGGAGTGGGCGAGAGCGGACTGAAAGGAAGCCCGTGAGAGTCGGGAGCCCGTCCCGGGGAGCGGTGGCGCTGGTGGCCACGTGGGAACTGGAGGCGCAGGGTCGAGCTGCACGGAGCGGGGAGCGAGGCGGCGAGCTGGACCGGCAGCCCCTGGCTGAGCCCCCCAGCACTGGTGCCGGACGCTCGCTAGCTCTGGGGATCCCTCCCCAGCCCACAAAAGGGGGCGCCTGGGAGGGAGGTGACTCCTTTAGAGAGATGGTGGGTTATCTCAACAGACCCGGTAAAGCCAGCTGCCCGCGTGGGTAGTAATGGTTTGGCTCTGATAGATTGCGTGGTCAGACATTGACAAATCAGTACCCGTCCCTGTAGCAGTTTTTAGTGCAGCGCCAGTTATCTGGGCCAACTTCCTAAATATATTTATCTTTGGAAAGGGACTTCGCCCGCACACAGGTCTGTTTATACAGCTCTTTATATATTGTGTCTTTGAATCAGTTAACGTCCCCAGGAAGCACTCCTTTGTCTCAACACACTGGAGGCTAAATAAGTACAAACCCATCTCACCACTGTAATCCCAGGGGATTTTTTCCTTGTCTTTGCTCTGATTAGAGTTCACTTAAGCATCACACTTTTCTTTCTGGAAATGTTCCCTATTCAATTTAAAAAATCTCCCTTTCCTCCCAGTCTGACAGCCTCCCCAATATTGATCAATAAAATTTTATAGTCACATGTCTAGAAATGAGGTATATCNCAGCCTCCCCAATATTGATCAATAAAATTTTATAGTCACATGTCTAGAAATGAGGTATATCCATTAAGGAGTTTACTCCGTTTCTTTAAACATAAAAACTTGCCCTAAAGCGTGTTCTAAATCACTGCCTGCTGCCAGCTCTCTCTTCCCCAGTTTTGGCCCTTGGCCCTTTTCTTCAAGGGCATCTTCTTTGAGTGGGGACACACCAAGAATCATGTGAGCCTTGCAATTATTTTGGACTACACCAACAAAATTAGTCCTGAGCCAGGAAAAACAAAAATAATACTGCCTGGGTCTCCCAATCCCTTACCTAACAGACTGCACCGTGGAATTCATTTCAGTTTCTTTATGGGATGCTGAGGTGCTAGGATGAGAGGGATGGTTGGGCTTTGAGATGGGACAAACATTTTGAAATACCGATTATCTCATAGTTCTGGCATGACAGTTGGCACAGCTTCCTGCTTGCAGAGTTCAAGGTAGTGTTGTCAGAATTCATTTCACTTTCATAAGTGGCTCATTCTGACTCAGTAGCCTCAGGATCTCTGGCTATGGTGGTGAAGCAGGTTGTCTTAGCTTAGTTATCAAGGGAGGGGAAAATGATCCACTAGTTGTTTTATTTCTAAAACTTTCAATATTTTATTATAGAACTAATATATTAAATGTTACTTTTTAAAAACGCTAACACTTTGGGCTTTCTGGTTATTATCTATAGTCTAG